AGGGAATATAATTACAAAGGATGGAGAAGAACTCCACCACGCTGCAGGAGAATGAACCCTCAGAGAAGCAGAGAGATGACCAATAAGCCAGCCAACCCACTAGTAACCAACAGTAGGAAATTTCTGAGGGAGACACGGTTAATGGCAACACCCTTGACTCATATGTCAGAGAAGGAGAAATGGAGGGAGTTGAAGGGAAGAAACAGTGGAAGAGGAAGGTTTGGTAGCACCCTGCCAACTCAGCCCAGATGAAAAGTGTGAGAGGAACTGAGAGATTAGCATTTGGCTGGCAGCGCAGAGTTCTCAGGGTCCTGGGGGCTGCCTTCAAGCCTGTTAATGGTGAATGTTTCTCATGCTCTTTTTTGCTAAATGTGACAAACCCATTCTCCTCCCTCCTCAAAGTCCTCAAACTGAGTTATTCACTTAGTTAAATCTACCGCGACTTAAGAAGTATATGATTGGCATGGAAAGGGGCTTACATTTGTTCCTGTAGTCACGTAATTACTGAAGACAAGAAGGAAGATTCCAGCAACTCAGGCCCCTTGCGAACAGGTCAAATACCTGGTTTTTACAAGCAACTAGCTTCAGTTTTCTGAGAAGCTCTGAGGAAACTACAAGTCTATTCTTGAATATGTTTATAATAGAAAAGGAAAGATAATGCGGTTATTTGCTAATTGCTGCAATGATTAAAGCAAGGTTTCTCAAGTTCATCCTTTCATGAGACTGGCGGCCTTTTGAACACAAACAGGATCTGACAGAGATAGTAATAACGAAAGTCTGAGAACAAGGAAGCAACGCCAGTTTTGTTCGGTTGCCGCTGACTTCGAATCTACGTACAGTTTAAAGACTCTTTGGCTGGGACTATCTTCTGGTATTTCCGTGCTATACTGTGATTAAGCGAAACTTCAGCAAAAAAAGAAAATGTTGCATTATAGTAGTTTTGAAAGTTATATAGGTGGATTTTTAAAATATATACAGCCTAAATTTTCTTAGCAAAAGTCAACTGAATAACACACAGTTTGGAAACATTTGGATAAGAGAAAACAAATATCTGATAAAAGTACTTGAAATTTGAAAGAAAAAAAAAGATGGGAGCAGAGTGAGAAAAAGCCCCTGACAGGTAATGGTGGAAACATGACAAAGAGAAGGTCATTCTAATGAGAGAGGCAGCCTGCTCTCATGGAGAGAGACTTTGGGCTTTGAAATCGGACCTTCCTGGATATGAATTCCAGGTGTGCAGACTGCTAGACACGATACTCTTGGGAAAGGTGCACTAAGGTTCTGCGCTTCCGTTTCTTAGCACATTAAGAGGCATACGGGAAACAGAGGTTGGCTACTTCTCTCTCCACTCCATGTTGCCACCCTCCCACTGATTCCCCACCCTCCTTCTTCCCCGGGACCATGCTGAGCGCAAGGCTTGTCCCTAAGGCAGCTGGAAAAGGAAAGGTTGACTTGGAGGTAGAAGCCCTGGACTGGAGTCCCCACCTTAGGCTGAGTGATCCTCCACAAGTGATTCAATTTCTTAGTTTCTCACCTGCAAAATTCCTCCCACAGGACAACAAGGAAGTTAAATGAGATGATTTTCTTTGTGAAAGTATTGTAGAAAGTACTTCTGTCTTCTATCTTACGAATCAACAGGGAACCAGCATTCTTAAAATGACCAAAATGATTCCTAATTTCCTTCCTAAGGAGCTGATTCCCCTTTCCCTTTTCATGCAGTTCTTCTTTTCCTAAAAAAAAAAAAAAAAAAAAAAAAATTACTTTATAAAGAAAGCCTGGATTCCAGAGCCAGAGTCTATCCTTTAGAAACTTTCAAGCATTTTTTTTTTAATTATAGAAGGCATTATACCCCATAGCCACTCAAACTTTCATAAACAAGAGTTGCAATGTGAAAAAACTCACCTGCTGGGTTTGCCTCTATGAGCAACTATTGTTTTCAATACAAACTGAATCAGAAATTGTCCTTGTATTTGTTTTATTTCTGGAGTTTCTTCTTTCTTTTCTGTTAAAAATACCTAGAAGCATGAAAAAAGTAACTATCTCCTATGTTTTATAAGGAGAAAAAGGTGATAAAGAAAAAGAAAATGAACTTGGCACGCAAGTGAGTCTTGCTCTGGAATTTGGGTGGGTCTAGGAAAAAGCACAGACCTCAGTGGAAAACATATATGGGTGTGTGGGAAATCCCTGTAAACTATAAACTGACTACACAGTGCTTGAGCTGGTGTGGAGAGAAACCACAGTGCTGTCTGAAACCAGGGAGGAGGGGACAGGGAGTAAGTTTTGCACCAAAACAGTACAAAGTGTCCCTGGGAGTCAGGACTGCTGGTAATTCTCAGCAGGCTTAACTGGATCTATTGAAAGTGGCCATGGTAAAGCCCCACTGTTGCACCCTGGGACTCTCTGTGGGATGACCCTAACTGTATCATCCAGGAACCCCATGGCCTGACTCTGCTTCACCCACACTTCTTCCCAGCACTCCCCAACAAGGTTCCTCTTCAATTGCTCCTGTATGCTTCCCCACTTCATTGCTATTGCCTGTGCACTTCCATTTCCTAGAAAGCATTCTTTCCCTTTTCTATCGGAATCTCATTCTCTACCCTCAAAGCCCTTTAAGGCCTGTCGAGACTCAGCTTTCCCTTCCCCATGGGGCCTAGCCTCTTCTACCCTTTCTAAATGTTTTCTTCTCCAGGCTGAACAAAACCTAGCATGTCTCTGTGCTGCTAAGGACTAATCAGATGCTGTGTCCTGATTCATTTGGTGTTGGTGCCTCCTACATCTCCAATCAGATTAGCCCCTGGAGGGCTGAGAGCACGCTGGACTCAGCTGAGCTAGAATCAGCTCACCTTTGCACCTGAGCTGAGTGCCTGCAGCTCCGCATTTGTGATCCTAGCCTAATGCAGCATGAACTTTATTATCTCTCTTTTTACAAATGACGAAACTGAAGATCAGGGAGACAGTGTCCTTTGTCCAAAGTCACCAGCCCAGTTACCTTTCAGAAGGCATCTCACTCCATCTTCAGGATGACCCCAGTAGGTAGATTTTCAGGCTTTAACTCTTCCTGTAGGTTATAACCTGAGATCTGAGATTCGAACCCAAGTCCGTCTGGCTCCTAACCTGTACCTTTCCCACTATATCATATTGCCCCCATCACCAAAATGCTGAACATAAATTTGAACGTGGAATCATATCAAATGAACTTATGGTCATCCCATTTTGTCAAAACTAAGAGAACACGACAAAAATCGGCAAATTTTACCAGAGCAGTGTGTTTATGGCAAGACCAAGGCAAAACTTTATTCCTCATTCTTTGTTTTATAGTAATAGGCTGAAAAGGCCCATATGCGTATTCATATTTAAGGAAGTATGTAACTGTTTTACCTTGGTCAATGTAAAATTCCCTGTATGTTGCATGCATCATCAGGATGCAGCAGGTATGTGTACAGCCTCATGTCTCCAACAGCCAAAGGCATTTCTGAGTGGCCACATCACTCTGACCTGGGGAAGCCGAGTCCGTCTAGACATTGGGAAGCCCAGGCCAGCAGTGTTTCTGCTAAATGGACCTTTCCAAATCCTCTCTGAAACAAAACCAGATTGGGCATCTTCAAGAAAAGATCCTCTTGTAAAGTTGGTGTAGCTGCTTCGAGTATAGTCAGTCTCTCTGTGCTTTTCTTTAAATTTTCCTTCACAGAAAGCTAAAACTTAAAGAGGTTTCAGAGAAATGAGTCTGACCCCATCTCCCAGTATCATTGAAGAAACTGAGGCTTGGAGGGGCTGGGTCACTTGCTTGAGGTTTTGTAGCTCCTAGAAGAGCTTTTTCTCCAAATTTGGCCTAGAAGTCCTCACCAGGCCTCCTCCTATCTTAGGTGGAAACTAAACAGGAAAAGATGAAGCCGAACTCAGGAAGAAGCAACATAATTAAACTGGTTTCTCATTTGGCCACAGGGTCAGAGGAGTGAGTAGAAAGAAACTAAAAATCAGTTAAACACTTGCAGTTTTAAAAAGGCATGCGATTTCTGCTTTTCCTAAGCTGTTGAAATGTGTTTATAGGTCCTTCCTGGAGCTTTCTCATTGCTAATGTGCTCCTATAAAAAGAATTCCTGGAGACTGAGCTGGGTGGTATTTGAGTATACAGCTAGTGCTCGACTTACGACCACGGTCGGCACTGCAGACCGATCATAACAAGATTTGGTCGTAAGTTGAGTAGGCTATATGTACAGTTGAAATGGTGCAGTCGGAGATGGTAGTGCTGCCGGAAGCTGGTCCACACTGTCGTACGCCCAGCCGGTCAACGTTTGCGCTGCCAGGTGCAGAGCAGTCGTGGCTAGCGATTGTGGTCGTAAAGTCGAATGGTCGTAAGTTGCATAGGTCGTAAATCGATCAATACCTGTACTTCTCAATGGAAAGCAATGAGCTTGTGTGCTACACTGCTTAGGCCACATGGTCTCCCAGACCTGGGCTGCCAGATTGTGGCCATTATTGTTCCATGCAGATCATGCCCATCCCATGCAGAAGGCCACTCTAGGAACACATTTGCACAGGGAAGAAAACGCCTTTAGAAATTCATATGGTGCTTGTCTAAACTGAAGGCACCGGAAGCTGCCAGCATGCTCCCATTTGTTTCTAATAATTTCTCCACCCTGAGGCTGCTTTAAAAACAAACAGTAAAAACCTGCGACCCAGCACCACAATTGAGAAAGAACGCATGGGACTGACATTTTTAAGAATTACTGGCCAGGTGTGATGGCTTATGCCTATAATCCCAGCACTTTGGAAGGCTGAGGCGGGTGGATCACCTGAGATCAACAGTTGGAGACAAGCGTGGCTGACATGGTGAAACCCCGTTTCTACTAAAAATACAAACAACAACAAAAAAAGGCCAGGTGTGTTGGCAGGTGCCTGTAATTCCAGCTACTCAGGAGGCTTAGGCAGGAGAATCACTTGAATCCAGGAGGCAGAGGTTGCGGTGAGCCAAGATTGCACCACTGCACTCCGGCTTGGGCAACAAGAGCAAAACCCCGTCTCAAAATTTAAAAAAAAAAAAAAAAAAGAATTACTAAAGTGTGAGACTTGCCCAGATTATTTTTCCAAGGATCCAGAGCCCTTTAGAGAGAATTCAAGAGGGAGAATTTCTGGTGACTTCTACCACCTCTGAAGAATTAAAAAACACACTTATGCTGCTTTCCAGGCCTCTGTGGTAGTTAGTTCTGCTTGGCAGTTTTTGTTGTTAAATTGCTTTTAAAAAACCTGGAGCTCTATCAGATATAAATACCTTGTGATGCCAAAGGACTGTCTTTCACCCATAAAAACTGAAGCCATGTGCCAGAAGCCCTCGTGGCCAAAGGGCTCTCTCCTTGGACACGGATGAGGGCTACTGGGCGGTGGGACTGAGGCTGTGCCTGGATGCCCAGCTTCTGCAGCCAGAGGTGGAGAGTTGCTCCTGCCTGCTGGCTCAGCCAGCACAGGAGCACGTAGCCTGCAGGCTTGGGTTGCACACAGGCTTCCCCCTGCAGAGTCAGGCCCCTTCAGCACTTCCCCAGATCTCTGGAATCTTCAGCTGAGATTGGGCTCCAGCACCTGGACTCAAGGTAAGGCCCCTTCGGGTGCTTCTAGCTGATCAATCAGGGTAGTGCAAAGGAAGAAAATGTTGAGATTTCTGGAAGATTCAATCAGAGTGATTCACCTTAACCTCAGGCATGATTTTCCCCCATTATCCACTCTTTTAGATTTCAATTTGTATAAATCTTACTGATCTGCAGAAGACTTCTGCTTCTGAAACTACCCGTGCTTAACAATGATTGTGCCCTACTCTATGAGACTGCAAATAAAAATATATTAACCTTGGCAGAAAATCAGCTGATTAATACTTATACCTGACACTGTAAAGACTGGAACCTCAATTTATCTGCATAAACAGAGGCTTTGGGTATAAAACTAAAATGTAGTCGGTTATGCCAAAGACTGCTTTCAATAGGAAGGCACCAAACATACTTTTGAAAATAATAAAATAGTCATTTAAATTAAATATACAAATAAATAACTTTCAGAGCTAGTACTGAGTTTTAAGCCTTAAAGACCTTGATTTCAGTGACAAGGTATATAACAAATGCAGCTGTTAGAAAAAGGACACATACTGAGGTTTGTTTCTTTCAAGATTATACATAGTATTATTCAAAAGTCTTATTGTATATGAAAAGTAACAAGATTTTTACAATACGAAACAGTAGCAGCTAGCTGATACCCTGCTTACCTTTACAAATTGTCTAGTTGGTCACATTTTACCTTAATTTTTCAGGATCTAACCAAGGCCTGGTTAACTCTTACTGGCAATTTTTGAAAAGGATGAAAGAGGTCCTACATATAGTCCTCTAAATTAATCTTAGTGCAGGAAGACAAGTCATATTTGCATAACTTTATTTTGTATCCCTAGCTACTGTCATCCTAGTATTTGAAAAGCTCCTTTTCTCCCAATGTTCACAAAATCATTTTCCAAACTTGCAAATATTAAAACCTATTCATGTCTAATACTTTCCTGCTTGGTCTATTTCCATGTTCTGTCAATGACCTATCAATTACCCTATTTAACTACCCATGTCACTTGAAATTTCTCCCACCAGAATTTAGGTTGCATATTTTCACAGGGCAATTTATTTTAAAATCAGAATGGTCCATAAAACTAACAGCTCTGTGTGCACAGACCTAAAAGATTTGTACATCTGCATTTTTGAACATCAATAGTTAAACAATCAACGTAAATGTTAAAGAAGTAAATTAACTTTCAGAATTTCACATGTGCTCTACCATTCACCATTGACCATGCTGGAAGAGGACTTTGAGGTCATTTCGTCCAACCCTCTCATTTTACAGATGAGGAAAACAGGACTAATTGATAGCTAGCGATACTAAATTATAACTCTTCTAAAACTAGATAGCAGAGTGAGTAGGCTTCTTAATGTGCTCAATTACTGTATGAATTCCACGAGCTGATGAGCGTGCTGTGACCTTGAGCATTTACATTCTGTGGTTTTCAAATGTTTATGTTTCTAATGTGGTATTTGTAAACCCCGGGCCCCAATAACCTTTACCACGGAGGCTTTGCCAATCCCAACTCTGGGCAGCCCACCTCTTCCCTTCTCAGCCTGTGCTTCCAGCTGTTCCACATGGGCAAAGTCACGTTAGGGGTAAGCAAAGACTTGAACTAGTGTTCATGTTTAAAAAACTCACAGGGACCTGCCTGCTGGCTGAATCCTTTCTTCATTTCTTGTTGCCTCTCCTACATGTGACTCAAAAGCTAGCCAAGTTGGTTACACATCCTTCACCTTATTCCTGTTACACCTAAGTGTCATACCTTCATTCCCTTTACTAAGATCACACTTCTCCAATTTCTATTCTCCTCTACTCCTCAATAAATAGGAAAATGCTGTCTGTAGAAATGCACATGGAAGAGCTGGGCATGGTGGCTCATGCCTGTAATCCCAGCACTTTGGGAGGCTGAGGCAGGTGAATCACCTGAGGTTGGGAGTTCGAGACCAGCCTGACCAACAGAGAAACTCTGTCTCTACTAAAAATACAAAAATTAGCTGGGCGTGGTGGCACATACCTGTAATCCCAGCTACTTGGGAGGCTGAGGCAGGAGAATCACTTGAATCTTGGAGGCAGGGGTTATGGTGAGCCGAGATAGTGCCATTGCAGTCCAGCCTGGGCAACAAGAGTGAATCACACTCCATCTCAAAAACAAAAACAAAAACAAATCCACGTGGAACTCATGCACACATTTTCTATAACTTGTCTTTCTTCCACTTCCCCACAACTAGAATATAAGCTTCATGGGAGCAAATGCCTTGTCTGCACGATTATATCCCTTGTGTCTAGTAGAGTCAAAGATAGGTAGGTGATGGGTAAATACATGCGCAATAAATATATCCTTTCATCTTTCCTTCCTGTCTTAGGGAAGCCGATGTCCCTTCCCTTTCTGTCTTGCCCCCCCAATAACATCAGTGCTTCTTTGTCCCTCTTCCAATATTTAACCTCTGAATCACATCCCCTTTCTTGAAATCTTGCCATCTTAATTGTCTTCTTTTATGAATTTACATAGGTGTCCAGCCATCTGGCTGCCCTTTCTCCAGCTCTTTTGCTGGATAATCCTGCCCTCTTCCATACAGGCAATCTCTAAGATTGCCCCTTTGGTTGCTTTCTTCTCTTGGTATTTTTCTTTTTTTGCAGTTCTCATTGACTCCTATCTGGTCAACTTTTACTTCTAGGTACTATGATTATTTAATCACCACCTCTATCCCAAATTTAATTCCTAGAGATGGACATGCTTGGAGCCAACCTCACCATGTCACCTTCAATACCCTCTGCTTTTCATCCGAATCTTCTTTTCCATCCAGGCAGCAAACTCCAGAGGCCTTTCCACTCCTGTTCAACCCTCGCTACTTCACACTTAATAGGCGTGTGAATTTTACCTGGTGGCAAACCAATGTGAGTTCATGTATTACTTAGACAAATTCAACAGCCTCCTAAATGATCTCCTTATAGCTACTCTCCTCCCTCCCTGTCTTGCTAGATAAGCCTGGCTTCTTTTTTCCTGCTGAAAGATTAAATATTTCAGTTTAAAATTCATTGCCAGCATAGTTCCCAACATAGCCTCATACTAATTTCTACTCGGGAGGCTGAGGGATGAGAATAGCTTGAACCCGGGAGGCGGCGGTTGCAGCAAGCCAAAATCATGCCACTGCACTCCAGCCTGGGCAACAGAGAAAAACTCTATCTCAAAAGACAAACAAACAAAAATAAACAAAAACAAATGGGGAACGTTTTTAAAAAGAGCAGAGGCTCCTTTTTTAAAAAAGCAAATCTCAGGCTTTTACTCATATCCCCACCCCCACCAAAATATTTTGATTTGATTGTCCTGTGTCAGAGCCAAGGCATTAGTTTATTTTAAAATCCCCTGGGTGAGTTTCATAGGCAGCCACAGTTGAAAATTGCTGATAATTGATAAACCCTATGGTCCAATCAGTTGGGAATACTTGAAACATATTTTGCCCCCCTACAGTTTTGCCTGGGTAATTCCCCTTGCCTGCAACCTTCTTTCTCCAATTTTTTTTTCCTACAGAAAACACATGATAATTTCTTTGATTCTTCCAGTTAGAAGGAATCAGTCCTCCTCCTGGAAATCCTTAATACTACTTAATATATCACATTCATTCATGTGATCCAGGCAGACCCTGTGTTAGATATGGACAATATGGAGAGAAAGAAGACAAGGTCCTTGTCTTTAGGCAGCTGACAGTCTTGCCAGCTCACTGGCTACACATGAACCAGTGAGTATCAACTTTTATGGTAGAAGTGTCCATGGGATACTGTTTTGGCATGAAGGAGTCTATTCCGCTTGGTATAATAACAATTTGTGTGTGTGTCATCTCTTCTATCAAATGGCAAACTTTTGAGGGCTGAGATCATGCATGTCTCACCTTCAGGTATTTCAAAGACCACAATAGAATAAAATGTTTGCTGAATAAATGAGTGAATGAATGATGTTTTGGTAATTAGAAGTCACTGGGGAATAACAGCAGCTCTTAGGAAATAGTACCAGAGTTCCATGCTTGGGGTAGGGATGGAGGTGTCCCACTGGAATTCATAGACCCATGTATAATTTTCAGTACTAAATTATGTGTGTTTTACAATATCTCTCAATCACGCATTCTGTGGTTTACTTAAAACGGTAATAGGAATATCATGCTAGAAACTAGGTCTTGTACTCATGAACAAAAAAAAGGAAACAGCAGACATTGGGGTCTGCCTGAGGGTGGAGGGTGGAAGGAGGGAGGAGCAGAAAAGAGAACTACTGGGCACCGGGCTTAATACCTGGGTGATGAAATAACGCGTACAACAAACCCCCGTGACACAGGTTTAACTATGTAGCAAACCTTCATACCCCTTTTTAGGTACCCCCGAACCTAAAATAAAAGTTTAAAAAATTAGATTTTAGAATATATTCAAAGAGTAGAATATTACTTTTCAACTAAAAAAAAATCTGAATTCGTATTTTTAAAATATTTTTTAAAACTTTAAGTTTGATCAAGCATTTACATTCTAGAACAAAAGCAAAAGCAAAAGCGATATGCATTCTAGATTTATCAACTTTGCACACATATTTTAGGAAGATTTTGAGAGATTTTAAAATAATATCTAAAAATGACCATTTAATTTTAGTAAAAAGAGACTCCCAGTTTCTTGCCAACTACTCTGGTCTGAGAGTGTTTAGATTAAAAAAATATGTGTGTTAAATTATCAAAGGAAAATCAATAAATCAATAGTAGCACCAAAAAAGAAAAACAAAAAGAAATTAGTTCTGTTTCTCATGACTAGGAAGTCGACAGTGGTCTTTCCAATTAAGACTCAGCACCTTTGATTTTTGTGAGCATATCCTAGAGATCAAGCATGAGTGTTTGATGACTGATGGGGAGAATTGAGGGGGATTAGGAGAGACACTTGATCTTGCCATGATTCTCAAGTTAAATCCTTGGGCCTCTTAAAGATGTTGTTGATAAAGCTGCTAAAATGGTCACCAGATAAATACAAACAA